GGCAAAAATTCACCAAGGCCCTTGAAGGCAATTTGTTCTTGTTTCATTAAAAGAATTACTTAACAAATTGAATGCATTCAGGGACGATGCTTCAATTTATAATAATCACACAGGGCTTTGTTCTACAGTCAGCGCGTTTTAAAACTGTAATAAGGAGTTTAACTGTGCTCCACATTCATGATATTTGCTTTTGTTAAAATCCAGTATCTGAACCAGAGCGGCTGCTCACTCTTGCAGAAAATGGCACTTAAAAAAAAACACGTTAACAGATAATAGTTGGCACCATCAGCACCGTCTGTGAAGAACACTTACAATTTATTTTCATAATCCTTCCATGCTCTGTCAAAGGGCTTTTTCAAATCCTGCAGGAGACAGGATAAAGAATTGTTTAGGGCATAAGTTTCCAGTTTACATTCGTGTTGACCTTCCTTTTAGAAGAGTGATATCCATTTCTGATCCATCCTTCCCCCAGCCTTTTACATAGGAATGTGAGAATTTACAAATCTACCACAGGAGAGGAGGCCTTTTGGCCTGTCGGTGTTGGGATGCTTCTAGCTTACTGCTCTGTGGACTTGGAGGCTGGGGGATCTGTTTCAACAGCACTTTCGACACGGCACAACCCTACACTGTCTAGATTATCCACTTCAGTAACACTGAGCCTTGAGAAACAGCCGCTTTCAGGAGTCCGAGCACTTAAAACAAGTCATCTCAGTCTCTCTGGGAGACTGAGATTATTAAGTGCCTTAAAAGGAAGACTAGAGTCTTATTTCTTACTTGTTGTGCTAAACCAGTTGCACGCTTCCTCGTTATTGCAGGAGCTAAAGAAATCTCACTTGTTCTTTCGAACAGATGTGCCAGTGAAAACAGCTTTGAAACATGAGCAACAGAGCTGACACAGGCCATTCCATTAGTGCTGCACAGAATCGGGAAGTCTGCTGTGGAAAACGAAGAGCTATAACTGTTGTCCCCTGTGATTTCATCGTCTCCCACCTTAGAGAGGAATTTTTAGAATGAGCTTCTGTAGAATAATCAGACTCCAAAGTATGATACTAAACCACAGGACACTATATACAAATGCTTTAATCACTTCTTGAAAGGAACTGTGAGTTTCTCTAATCTCTCTGCCCTTTCCTTGACCTTCTGGGATGTCTCTCTGTATTACAAACCTTCACAGAAGTGTCTGGGTAGAAACCCTCAAGGTTACTGACTGGAAAAGCAAAATCGACCAAATTAATCACAATCAGCACTAAGGAGGTACTTAGCTGCAGATGCAACCAGAAACTATAAGGCCTTTAAAGATCACTGCAATTAATTTTGACAAACCTGCTGATGGTTATAAATAATAAAACAGTTTTATGTATTAAATACAGATTTTAATTAACAGGGCAAACATTAATGGAAACAAATAAAAAGATTGCCTGCAGTTCAAAACCAAAATAAACATTAGGCTGAACCAATTAAAAAGCCAAGCTGCCCAATTAAACTAAACAAAACCTGCTCAGTCGTCTGTACTGTCAAGCTGAACAATGAGCTGTCTCAGTTTGAATGGCTGCTACATTTTGATAATTACAGAAAATTAACATTATAAAAGACAGTCTTTTGTTATAGCCAAAACCCATATTGGGGAATTCACTTGTATTTAAAGCAGATATCGAGAGGACAAGTACAGGCAAATGAAAGAAATTTCTCATCTCCTCCGTGCAGCTGTGTTCACCTTCAACCTTTGAACTTACCCCTTTGACCTCTTTCAAGTCCCCTTTGACCAGCGACTCCAGGGAGAAGTTGATGTTGTGATACATGCTCTGTAACTGAGAGAGAAGACATGGGCCATGTTGGTGCACTGGACAGCAGCTGTTCCTCTTGTGACCTGATCCTGGCAGATCTCCGGAGCTCAGCAAGGCTGGGCCTGGTCAGTACTGGGATGGGAGACCTCTGACCCAGTAAATCAGGTTGCTTCTGTAGGCTGATGGTCAACCAGTAGGTGACGCTTTTTCTACCTCATTTCCCAGTACAGTGACCCGGAGACATTACTATGCAGAAGAGAGGTCAGACTAAGAAACTAGGTAAGAAAAAATAAAAGTGCCAGGTGCCCATGCTGCCTGCCTGGAGCAGAAATGTCTTTCAGATGACTGTTTCACTCTTGGCCATCAAACATGTGGCCCAGAAACCTGCCCACGCTGCCCCGGGTTTTTGAGTGTTACATTTTCTTTGCCAGCAGAAAACAGAAACTGAATAGTAACACACACATGGCCACGTCTTTGGTCTTACCGCATTCTTCATTGGTGTCAGCAACTCTTTGGAATATTCTGCAAACTTATTAAAGGCAGAAGCCAGCTCCTGTTCTCCGTTATTCCTGAAATTTACAGCCAGTTTCTCCATGGAATTGATGTAGGATTCTAGATGCAAAATGTGATCTGGAAAACACAGCCCAGGCATACATACTCTTTACCTTTATATTTATACAGTTGTAGAGCAAATTACTGTAACTCCTCTAAATGAATTAATTCACTAGAACACATTGACCAGAACATGCTAGAATGAAGTAAAACCCAATGTTAAGAATTTTAACAAACTATACTTAAAAACCTAACAACAAAATAGCCTTGTTTCACATACAGGGTGCAAATACTCATGTACACAACTGATTTGATTTATATTATCATTGTTAATGGGACCCAACTTCCATTTTCTAAGGTATGCTGATTCTTGGCGATATTTTGAGAAAGAGAACTTCTACTTTACTCTCTGTTTCAAATGGTTGTTTTTTCTCCCTGTCGGGACAGCCACCCTGCCCTCTCCCAGATTGGTAGGGAAGATCAAGGCCAGAAAAAGTTCTAGCCAGCTGGTCCCTGCTTTAACAAGATGACCCTAAACCGGAGCAGGTGAAGCCGAGGTTACTCCTGAGGGAGCCCATGACTTGCAGTTACACCATTTCTCCACAGGGGTGCTCTTTTACAAAAAGGTGACGACCCCCCTGCGCTAACTGCCTTGCAGCACGTCTGGTAACTGTGCTGGGCTGGGGGCTCTGCAGCAGACTGAGCAAATGATACAGCCTCAATCGGCTCAGCAGCAAATCTCTGAGCCAGCAGGCATGCCGTCCCTTTACAAACAACAACGTTTAGCGGATGAAACCCTCAAGCACCCCTTTCTCCTCAATCTGTTTTCTGTGGGAAGGGCGTCCCGAACCTCAAGCCCGCTGGCAAGACTGAGCGGAGGTTCCAGACTCCTAACTGGGAGGTTGTAGGTTTGATTAACAGCTCCTCACACTACTGGACCCCAGTTTTTACCCCACTAATTTACCCCAGCGGCTCCAGTCCACAGCTCTATGAATAGGCACCAGCATTGCTGAAGGTAACCCTGCTATAAACTAGTGTCCCATCCGTGGGGGAGGGGAGGGGGACTCGTATTCTCTTCATGCACTTAAGGCAACAGAAACCAGGATACGTTCAGGCCTGATGGCTCTCTAGACACCGGACGAACTGTGCCCAGGCTCCAGGTCTCTGAGTGCCTGTCAGGTCACTGTGAAAGACCCCGCCACCTTTTGAAGGAGGTACTGTAGGTGGATGGCCAGGCTCTTCACTTGCACAGGTACAGTCGAGCCCGGTTGCGTCAGGTGTCCCTGCGGGAAGGCCGAACACGGTCACCCGATGGGGCAGGACGGCAGGAGGCTGCTGCAACAGTACCTTGACCCGAGGCGTGCTTAGCTTTGGCCCCTTTCTTCATCTTCTGCAGGACAGTGCGATCCGAGTCCAGGGCCTGAGACACACAGATAAACAAAGAGCCTGGTATTGACAAAGACGTTCAATTGATTCCTTCTTTTTAAAAAATAACCCTCCTGGAGGCTGTGAATCTGCATGAAGGAGAGAACAGTGCCGATACTGTCTGAATCGTCTGCTGCCCCAGAAAGGCTCCATTCACAGCTGAACCCCGGCTTTCCTGAACACACTTGGGGATGCACATGGCTTCATTCAGCTGAAATCCCTTTTCTGCGGTTGCCAAGAGCCTCCAATTCTCTATTTCCCTAAACCTTATCCTACATGGTCCCGTCTCTGATTTTTTTTTTCTCCGTATTTTCTGCACGAGAACTGATTTTGTTTTTCACCTGACACAGCGGGATCACCAATAAACGGGCTGTTATCCTCAGTCTGCAATTCCCATCTGTGCTCCGAATCACGATGAGCACTCATCGACTGGACCCTCTGCAGCGGCAAGAGAGGTCCATTCTCACACCCGACACAGGAGTGACTGAGGAAGCCCTGTGGACAGAGCCAGCCAAGCACAGCTCAGCCTCTGCCACAGAGGCCCGGATCAGGGTCATCCCATCCATCAACAGAACCAATTAAGAACAGGCAACACCTCTACTTAGAATAATGGCCACAGAAGAAGACGCCTGCTTCCAGAGCTCGGCCATTTCCGTACACTCCCAAAACCTAGGTAGAAAACAGCCCTTCTGGGCACAGAGTTTATGCGGGACAAGAAAATCTATTCATATGTCATGTACCAGGGGTCAGACTCGTTGTGTGAGGGAAACGAGTAGATCTCTCTCCACTTAAATGGATGAATGGTTGGGAATTTTGGAGGAAGAAGTGATATCATCCCAAATATGATCCGAGCTTCTTCCACGTCGTTCAGGTCTGTGTTCCAGGTAGCAGCTGCTGCCGACTCTCTGACCCGCAGCCAGCAAGTAAAATGCCACGGACAGACTGGAGGAGGACAGGCTTCCTGCTGCGCCCGGAGGAGAGCTGATTAAAGACAATGTCTCATGCCTGCTGTTGGCCTCTCTCCACTGAGGGCTGGACTGCGACTGCTGGGCAAGCCAGAGTGACAGAGAGCGCGATACTGCAGCCATCCTTCTGCACAGCCAGGCCCACGATGGCACTGGGGACGGTTATCTTGGTGGCCAGCCGACCTCTGGTCCAGCGCAGCTGACACTCAGCAGAGTTGCAGAAAGAGAGAGAGAGGAAACCAGCAGATGAAGCCCAGGAAGTTTTGTGTCCTGCCTACTGGCAGTGTGTCCTGTGGTGCAGAGCCTTGTGCGATAAAGGATCCTTATATGGTTAAGCAAACTATAGGGGATATTAAGTCAGTTCCCTATATGGTCAGTGATCACCACACTCCTCTAAGTGGGGGTAAATTAAAACACACCATTTTGCCCCGCAAAGCCCCTGGCCGTTACAAAACTGTTTCTCTTCTTCTTTTCTGTACTTAATGTTTCCAAATGCCTTGCCATTTCTAAACAGTCGTTCGAAAGGTTGCATTGCACAAAATGGCAAAGTCGTGCTATTAGGCAACGCCGAAACTGAGCATGCAGAAGCCAATTTTAAAGTCACTTGAACGTGAGCACTTTCCCCCGGAATTTGTTTCCCAGATTTCTTTTTCTTTGGATTCTCTGCCCTTTATTTGGTTCTCCTTACCCACCACACTTGGTCTCATACACTCGCCTACAAGCCTGAAGAGCCTACACAGATGAAACATTCTACTTTTTCCTCCTTCTTCCTACTGTGCACACTGTAATCAACCTCTACTTGTTCCATCAAAAGACTATTCCCACGTATACTGTAACTACAATCAATTAAAAAAAACTATTATCAGGAAATAGGTTTTTTATGGCATTTTGTTCAGCTTATATGATATACATACATCATCCTCATCATTCATGCGTCATCAACTGTGAAAGACACAGGCTAGCAGTGCTGACGGCAATAAAAGCTGCACTTCTGCTTTGCACCAGGGTTGCAGACGCTGTCTTTTGGGATCTTGGGACTCTGTTTCATTCCTCTAGTAAAAGCTGGACAGGCATGTGCCTGCACATTGGTCTCAGAGCCCTACACATCACATCATCCTAGCTAATCCCACAGATGTTTAATGGGACCCAAGTCTGGAAAGTAGAGCATCGACAGCATGACTGTCACATCCTCCTCGTGCAAGAACACGCAGCATGAGGTTCCTGTGTTGTTGCTGGTAAGCGGTCAGGACAGCCCTGCAGAAAGGGACAGCCATTGTGGCCCCAGGATGGGATCAATGTAGTGCTATGCAGTCAGGCTGCCATTGGTCACTGCAGGTGGAGCTCTAGAACGACACTGTATGGTAGACATTCCTGCCCACATCAGTACACTTGGACCAAGTGATCTAGTGCACACAGTTGATAGAGTGCCGCTCTGTGAGCCGACATCCATCACAGTGTGCTACACGAAACATCGCCGGAAGGACCTTGGGTCTTCTGCTGGCAAGCCCCCTGAGGTCATACCAATGGCCCCTTTCCGTGACTTGATATCCTGCAGCTTAAATCACCCCATCGCCTGTGCCCAGCCAGCGCCCCCACCAGTGAGGTGATTGAGTGCTCGCGCGCTACAGGCGCCACAGGCGTTATCATGGCCCGTCACGAATGATAACTTGAATTACTGTCCAAAATCCAAATTCTTTGCTCTTCTAAAACCGGACATGTGCTAATCTGGTGAAAAGATTCTTCAAGAGAGGAGCAGGGAGAGCTGCCTTGGTCACCCGATTGCACTTCATCTTTAGCTGCGATTTCATGAGCTGCTGCATTTATTGTGCACCTTCATATATAATATATACCCAGTCGCCTCGACTCTGCTTGCCGAAAACCAGTTCGAAAGGAATGGAGGGCCACGCACCAACCTGCCAGTCACTGCTGACATCACATCCTCCCAGCGGCTGTGTCTGCCGTGAGCTCGTCTCCGAGCACTTTAACCTCTGCCCTGCTGGAACCCGTGTCCCGCGCAGTGCTGACCATAGCTGCACGACTGCGTGCTCGAAACAGAAAAAAGCAGGGAGAATTCAATGCAATGTTTTCATTTCACGCAAGCAGACGCCTGATGGTAATATGTAACCTCTCGAGGGGTGAGATGGAACAGGAGCAGAGCTCCTTGTGACCAGGACTCTTGAAGTCCTTAACCTCTCGCAAGGAAATGGGGGTCGTTCCATGATGCGTGAGGCCGCCACGGCGGGGGGGGGGGGGGGGGGGGGAGGGGATCCTGACATTCCAGCGCGGCCCCTCATTAAAAGAATGCAATCTCATTACCTAACGAAGCGCAATCTCTCCCTCGCGCCCTGAAAAAAAAAACGCCGAGGGCAACAAGAAGACCCTGTGGAACATTCCAACGGGGCTGCCTCACGCCGGAAAAATTCTCTTTCCTCCCAGATTTCGGGGGTAATGACATCCTTAAAGGTTTATATTTAGTACAGATGGGGAAAAAAAGGAAGAGGGGGAGGGGGCGCTGGTGAATGACTTAATTGTAATCAAGACGGCAGAGAATGACGGGAGAAATCCCGGCCGGAAAAAAGAGCATCTTTAGACGAAGCAGAAAGCACATGGCCGAGCAGACACCACCAGAAATAAGAATGGCGTTTCTTGATTCTTACTGGAGTTCCCTGACATCATCCGTGAGTCGCTGGTCATTTCCCACAGCGCTCTAACGGTTTCATCATGAAACAAAGGGAAAACTGTGTCCTGAGTATTTACGCAAAGCCACCATTACCAGACAAATTGCTGCAGTGCTCGAGCATCCATTTGAGACTCACAGTCAATAACAGTCTGATTGCATTTCCAGCAGCAGGTACAGCAGTTTAACAGGGGTTTTGTCATCCAAGTGCTTATAAGTCAGAAATAAGGTAATCAGCGCACCAGTCCCAGCCGAGAGGAAATGAAGAGGCTCCGTCTGTCTTACTGGAACCAAAAACGGGTAGCTTCAATATTGCAGAAAGCAAGCATGTCGAAGAGCGCTGTCTGGAAATTCTGCATTACTGGCAGAAAACCACTAATGAGCCGAAGAAAATGAAGAGTCTAATCTGGTGTAAACCAATACAGTTTCCGGATTTCCAGGTCCTTAAAGCAGTGCAATCATTCAGAGAATCCGACCGAGAGGGACGGATATTCTACAGTAGTCCTCTGCGATGTGGGTATCTGAATGAATCTCATCTGATTTCCTGTTAAAAGAAAACCGGGAGAAGCCTTCTGAAGAAAAGGGTGGGGTTTTGGGCATACACGTCTTTCTGCTGTCCCCTGGCAGCCCAGTGAGGCAACCAAAGCACTTCTTACTCAGATACCAGCACCACGGCCGCAGGGATTAGTTTCCTACTCACTGAAAAGCCCCCAACTCACAACCACCAGGCATCACACCCCCAGTTTGGAAGACAAGCTGCTGTAGTTTTCAGAGGAGGGAGGATCTGTTTCTACCCCTCTGTCGCTCTCCACAGACTGAGCGTGTGACCCGTTCCGGCTGAGTTTCGTATGAGCAGAGCTGCAGCTCCCATGTGATTTTTCACCGCGCCTCTCCCTTTGCCCAGAAAGTGTGAGTATTTTCATAAAACATATCGGCCAATTGTTTGCCCTTTAACAAGATGTTTTGCTTTTTCATTGCTGGTCTTTGTCCAAAAGCTCAAAATTAAGAGAAATGACTTTCAAGGAGAAAAAAACAACAACAAAGTCTTCAGTCGTTCTCCCTGCCCACAGATCTCCACCTTCCTGACTCTGTGGAAAGTTTCCCAGGAGCCTCTGCCTACACCTACTTGCTCCTGGGACGTTCTGCTGAAAACAACAATGACTCTTAGAATCCCATGCCAAGATAACGAAAAATAAAGGCAGCCTAAAATCAGAGCACACAATTGGGCCTGTGCAGAGAAATCTGAATTGTAGGTGGACACCATGTACATGGACATTCGTCCCTGGTTAACCTACCAGCATGTGCTTGGACCGTGGGATGAAGCTGCAGCACCTGGGAGAAACCCATGCAAAT